CCGGCCCTGGTCTTCAAATTCTAATTTCTTAGCACATGTGATAATTTCGTCAACAAGAAAAAATTCATTGTCACATACGATAAAATTTACATTATAAAAACTCAATAGCTACTAGGCTTATACTTTTAAGCTTTAAACCATTTCAGGCACAAATAAACGCACGAACTTGTTTCCTAATAAGCCACATTTTATCTCATTTCATCTTTTAAAAGCAGAAAATAGCAATTTAAGACAGCCAAGAATAGTATTTGCTTAAATTGCATCTGTCTATGTTCATATGTACGCATGTTTGCATAAATAAAATTTCAGTGTGTTAACCCTTTGTCTAACGCAGCGAAACTAGCATTACCTACCCAACTAAGTAATCATGTTGGTCCAACAGACCCGGGCTGGTAGTTCCCGCTGGATTTACAAAAGCAATACTAATTATTTTGGAAAATAATAATTAACATTAATTATCAAAAAAGTATAGACTATATGAAAATAAGCAAAGTAAAGAAGTCATGGAGTTCAAAAGCATCAAATATTGATATGCGAACACAATAAAATCACATTCGGTTCCATTGGACCTTGGCGGGTAGACAAAGAGTTAATGTATGCCTTAGTTTTTTGCTTGTTAAAGCAGAAAACTTGAGAACACAAACTTACATTTTTGCAATGCATTATAACTCAATTATAGATGTTTACTTAGTTAATAGTTTGGAAGTGTGAGTTTGTGTGATAACAATGAAATCTAACGACTGTTTTTAGGGTAAAAAATTAATCAAACGAAAGAAAGTTTTGCATTCACTTCTTTAAAGAAGCAAATGTATGTAAACACTTATGTGCTGAACATACAAAGTGACAATGGATTGATTATAGAGCTTTTAATGCATTAATTTAGTTGAAGTTTTAAGCACTGAAGTGTGTAATGACTTTCAGAACTTAAAGTACTAATATACAAAGATATTTTTTAACTTATTACAGTCAACAATAATATTAACACATTTTTCGTTTTCGTTTCGCCATCATCCGTCTAATAACCGCTTCCAGAAATTTGGGCAATATATTGTGGTCAAATGTGGGCACCGCATGCCTAACTAGTCAGGCAACTATTTTTTTTCCATGTAATCAACTGGCATTTTTAACATGGGGATGTCCTACGAGATGGCAATTGTCAGATTTCGGTCAAAAATATACCAGTCTCATACTACTTCAGAAAAATACTTGTTCAATTGTGCCCCAAAACCAAAAAAAAAAACATTTGATCATTTGAAAGTGCTACCTACAATCAAACTATCTTACTTTTAAAAATTTTTCTCGAGTGGTGAAAGAAAGTGTAAAATATAATGTACATTGGCACTGAAAGGACGTAAATGTCTTGTACATTATATTGTACAAAGGCCCGCAAAATTTAAAGTTGAAGAGGCAATTAGGGTGGTTCTTTGTATTTGTTTTTTCAAGAGTTGGTGAGCTGCGGTTGCAGTAAAGGGTAGTTTTTTTATTACTTTACTTACTGAAGGCAGAAACACCGGGCCATTTGTATTTATAATGTAATTGAAATTGAGAAATGCATTTAAAATATTGTTTATTTCTTTTAGCCTAGAAAATTTTGATTTCAAAAACATTTTCACGAATAGTCCAATCCACATATAAAAATAATAGAAACTCCCATCCCAAAATACCATCAATTATATTTTGCTAATATCAATATGACAATGTGGCAACGCTGCTTCGAAAACGTACAATTTATGAAACTTCAAAAATGCCAGTAGCTTCTATTTTTTATCATGGATTTTTCAATAATCCACAATTTTCTTGAAAATCTGAATAAAAAGTTCTTCATTGTAACTTGAGCGTAGCTAATAGCGGCAAGGTTCCCACATACGTGGGACCAAGCTCGAAGAGCCCTCTTGATTTAACTGTCTGTTGCGAGCCTGGCGTAGAGGTGACTGGATGAAGGGTCCTTCACAAGTCCTCCTTCTGGCATGATGCTTAAATAGGCTTAACTATTTCTGCTAAAAAGTGCCTAAAGCATACTTCTTTCAGGAACCACAGACTCACAAACTGGGCCCTTTTTCAAAAGCTAGTCGAGGACAGGCTGAGTTCACCTTTACGAGTTAGAGATGTAAAGGAGCTGACAAGGGTGAACGATCGTCTGTCCAAAATACTAAATGATTCTTTTAAGCAGGCCTGCTCCAAAGGAAGTCTAACGGTAAGGCAAAGCCCCCTTGGTAGAGCCATGAACTTAGCATCCTTAGAAAATTTTTAGGCTAGCCAAGTGTGCTGACTCTAACAAATATTGGGATGAGTACAGGGATCTTCTAAAGATCTACAAAAAACCACACGCAGTGGAAAAAGAAGCTCATGGCCCATTAGTCCAACATCGTTTTGGACGGAATGACGACGATAGGGCTTCATCCCGTAATTTCGAAGTGGATAAGCAGTATGTTGAGCTGCAGAAGTGTTTCGGCGCAGTGGGGTAGACATATGAGGATGTTATCTCTGTTATAGTAAGCGGAAAGTTGCTGTCCACACTCAGCTCACTTATGAGCCAAGCACTACGTGTAATACATATTTGGGCAATCGAAGTTGGGCTTAGTATCAACGCAGAAAAAACAGATCTGGTATTCCTCCCCAGGAAATGCAAGGTTCCGTTCTAGTCCTAACCTAAGCTGGATGGGGTGACCCTTCAGGTGAAGCAAAGTACGAAGTACCTCGGAATAACCCTCGCTAGTAAGCTAAAGTGGCGTCTCAATATGCAGGAGAGGGCGAAGAAGGCTTCCGTGGCATTCTATGCTTGCAAAAAGATGCTGGGCTGCACCAGGGCCTGGATCGTCATGGTGATAGTCAGGCGAATACTGTTCCATGGAATGCTGGTTTGGTGGACAGCATTGGAGAAGAAAAAATGTGTTAAGAATATAGAAAGTGTATATATGCTATCAATGATCAGCATGACACGGGCACTTAGGACTACACCGACGGCGGGACTCTATACCTTGTTACATCTCTTGCCGATGGACCTATCGGGCAAGGACATAGCGTCGAAAACTGCCGCCAGGCTTTATGTTACGGGGCAGTTTGTATGCAGGTCTTACGAGCACAGTAGTATAGCGTCGAATTTACTTGGATGGATTGACTATGTGATCCCGGATCTGCACTTTGAGATGAACTTCGAAGCAATCATACAGGTCGAAAGCTGACGTAAGGGCATGAACTCCTCCTGGCTCGGTGAATGTCTACTCAGATGGTTCTAAGATGGAGAAAGGCGTAGGGACGACAGTCGCATGCGCGAAGCTCAACCTCAACAAATCATAGAAGCTGCCAAACTACTGCTGCATTTTCCAGGCGAAGGTAATGGCCATAAGGAGAACGGCGGAGCTACTGAACAGCAGGCTACAATGAAGGCTCTGCTATCGCACAACACTTCCTCTAGACGTGTGGCGGAGTGCAGAGGAGCTTTGAATTTGCTACACTCCAATAGTAACATACAGCTGTGCTGGCCTTCGGGGCGCACCGGCGTAGCGGGCAACGAAGACGCCGACAGGCTGCTATGTCGGAAACTATGCCGAAAGAAGAGCTGCCGATTTCCCTCCAAGCAATTAAACGGGAACTCGACCTGTCCATGACCCGGAAGGTGCCGAAGGCGTGGAACAAAACGCAAGACTGCAAGTTGTCCAGGGTTATGTGCAGAGAGTATGACACGAAGCCAACGAAGTTTCTCCTTTCCCTCAAGAGGTAGGACGCTAGGCTACTGGTGGCTGTTCTAACTGGACATTGCTTGCTGGCATCGCACGCCTATAAACTGGCGCTAACAAACGATAAGATATGCAGGAGATGCAGAAAGCAGGGGTAGACATTGGAGCATATCCTCTGCGGGTGTCTACTGGGAGTAGGTTTTCTACCTAATCTGGAAGCCGGCGTCAAGTTAGTGTATAACAAGTTGTTCCAGCTTGCCAAGAGGACGGCGATGTTCTTCAACATTGCTCCTGGTTCGCAGTGATTAGCTGTCTTAAAGTGGTCGTAGTTTATCTGGTAACGCTATGGACCTTAACGGTCTCTGGGAAGCCACGTATTTGGTTGCCAGCATACCTAACCTAACCTAATAAAAAGTTTAATTTAGCTGAAAATTTGTTTGAAATCTGAAACTTTGATTTATATGATTTTAATTTGGGAATGAATTATATTTTCATAAATAATTAATGCTAAAAAAATGTTCTTGAAAATAATTGGGAATATTATATTTGAGCAAGGTGTGCACTCTCATTTGTCGCCTAGTGTACCTCACTACCAGATAGAGTTGCCCGGTTGAAGGATTTTCTAAAAGTATTGCGAGTATGTTCTTTCCACAACAACAATAATTTTATGGGACCTCAAACATTTATTTTTGCTCGAAATTGGATTCATAGAAGCACTTTTTTGAAAATTATAGAAAACTTTCTAGAAACCACTTCTTGCAAGCTAGAACTCTCTTTGTATTTATTTACCTTTACGGTTGGCGGCACGAAAATCAATAAATCGCAAACAAACAAACCAGTTACGTAAATGTTAAAAGTGCAATGCAATTACTTGACTTGGCAATAATTTATTACAGCTTTTTTCTTTCCCTTTCAGGTGATACAAAGAGCAACCATAAAACAATGTCATGCGAAAACTTAGTGGTAAAACGGAATGGTGCACAAGTACAGGTAACAAATGCAGTATTTAAAACGAAAACAACAACAATACAATTGCAACAACAAGTGCTTTAAAATCTGTTGAAGCAAAGGAAAACGAAACGAAAACGTCATTGCATTTGTTGGGCACTAAAACAGTGGGGCATAACCACGGAACGGAACTAAATCAACCAAAGTGAGAGAGGGAGCAGGGAGAGAGAGTGATTCAGTGCGACGGGTGAGAGAGGTGGAAGTATAGAACGAAGTGAGGTGCAGCAGGGCGCCAACTAGTCGGCGGAAAGCGGAAGCTGACGAACAACAGGAAGTGTGAGAAAAACAGGAAGTGCTGAAATAGCAAAAACACGCAGCTGAAGCAGCAGCAACTAGAAAAAAAATAAAAAATAAACTTTAGCAACACAACCGAAATTCGGCGGAAATATTCGCAAAAATGCAAAAATTCTACATTTTAGCATTTGTAATAGCGCCAGTGTTGTTGGTGTTTGCTGACGCAAATGGTTTCGCCGAATCAGGACAACAGCAAGCGACTGGCGCAACGACAACTACCAAGGACGACGATAGTGGCTGCGACAGCAGAAGCTGTGGCGCGGGCGACCAAGGCAGCGAGTCAAAGCACTGAAGCAAAAACAGTGGCGGCGGCAACACAAACACTAACAGCTACCACAACAGCGACAAGCAGCAGCTATAACCGTGACATTAGCATCCTCAAATGCGCCTGCAACATTAACGGCAACAAACGATGCGGACGAACGGGTTTTGAGCACCGCAATACCAAAAACACCAGCAGGAGTTGCAGTGGTGACGCTAGCAGCAATGCATGAGCAAGCAAAGCGACAAGAAGAAGAACAACAACATAAAGCTACACAAACGCAAAAGGATAAGGAAACGCAGCAAAAAAGGAGGGGTTTCCTGTTTAGCGAAAATAATGGTGGGCAGGAAGAGCCAGCTAAAGCAACAGCAACATCAATGCCAACCAAAATTAATGCAGCAGCAATGGAGCATGCGGCCACACTGCCGCGAACGCACGCACATCACAGCAACTACTAGTGCAATAGCAGGCGAGCCAGCAACGAAAATTACGGAAGTAACTAACTGTGAATTTTGAAAGTAAATCACATGCGGATACACTTCCGTCAGGCGAAAGTGCTGCGGCTAGTGGCGCAGGAAGCAGGAGAGTTCGTGCCGCAGCAGGACGGAAATGAGGCAGAAACACAAATCATCAAAATTGTAAACGAACAGAGCACAAAAAGCTCGAACGAGCGGGTGGAAGTGCATGCAGATGAGCGGGGCGTGAGGCGTGCCAAGGGGGAGGAGAAACATGTAACAGAAACTAATGTTGCTGATGGTGGGCGTGGAGTTCGGAGGGAAATCGATCAGCAAGCAGGCGGAATTATTGACGACAGTAGGAGGGAGGAAATTACACAAAACCAAATGGAAATAAAGCAAAATGTGAAGCAGTTCGAGTGAATAAACCACACGATGAAGCACAAAAAGCTGGTTGGCCACCAGAAGGGGAGGCGAGCTCAAATCGACAGGAGGAAGAGCTTTACGAGCCCGGCACAACAGAAGCAATTGTCACAAAGTCGACAAACTACACAGCAAACAAGCAGCGAGCATGCGGCGGACGCACAACAAGCCATGAATGGCATGAATACCGAGCAGCAGAAGCTAAAGAATGGCCTATACCGCATTAAATTGGCTGAAATTGTAACTGACGAGTACAATGGACGTAGTGCGGAGGAGCAGCAGCAAAGTGGTGAGGCAGCGGGCGCGGACAATGGAGATGCAGAAATAACAGCCACTGATATAATACCAAACATGCAAGTGGAAGGTATGCGCGACAGAGGAGAGTGAAGAGCCGCTAACCACCACTCCACAAGCTCTGCTAGGCGCAGAACAGGCTGGCAAACAACTAGGCCAACTTGAACAACAAACCGGCGCGGAAAAGCAGTCAACATTGGAGAACATAATAGCGAACAGCAGAGGAGTGAACAGAAGTCTGCACAACAACAAAAACAACAACAGCAACGAATCCAATTACGCCGCGAGCAGCAAGCGAACGATGGCATGGAAAACCGGCAGGTGCAGCAGGACAATGAACACACCGCAACCAGCTGGAGGATAGGCTGGGTAGAAGAAGCAACAATGGCAGTGGCGAAAGCATGAGCAACAAGCAGATAAATAACAACAAAGAACAAGAAGAGCAACAGCAGCAGAGTGACCACACCAAGTACACACCGCCGGCATTCACGGTGGGTGGTCCATTGCAAGCGCCACATGCTACACCACCCGCGCTCAATATAGTTGATCTATATCCGATGAAAATGGAGGATTTCAATCCAATTATACGTGACTCCAATGCGATAGTTATTAAAAGAGCGCACAGTGTATAAAGCTGTGAAGAAGAGCGACGACGACGACGACGAGCGAGCGGGCGGCAAGTAGAGCCAACAGCTGTAGAGTGGTATGGAAATGCGAAGGCGCAAGCGGTCGAGAACAAAGTGGTATATTTACCAGCGGATGGTGGGAAAATCACCCACGCGACAGCAACAGAATTTATTGCCAAATGAAGTGGATACAGTCGACAACATAGTACAGCGTTACGATAACATCAATAATCTGGCCGCGCATCGGAGCGTCAATCGTAGGCCAATCATGTTGACAAAAAGCGCAGAGGAGAAAAGTGTAGAGGGAGCAGTGGCAGCGACAGCGACAGCGCCACCGAGGCAGCCAGATGATATTACTGATTTCACCGGAAAAGTGCTGGCCGAACAGGATGGTGTCATTACGGAAATCGAGCAAAAGTTTCGCTTGAATGAGTTTGCGCCGGCGGCGGTGGCTGTGACGGGGCACGGGCCGGCGACGGGAGCTGGAACAGCAACGGCAATTGAAGGCACTCGTAGCTAGGCCTGAGAATAAAGAAAGTGCAGTCGCGACTAGCAACACCACAGCACCAGGCAGTGTGGGACAGCTGACAAACGTAAAATCGAGCTATATTGTAAACCACAAAATTCAACCGCCCCAAAGTATTAAAAATAAAAATACGCAAGCAATAAGAAAACGACGACAAAAAGGGTAGCAGCAGCAACTCGCAACGTTTGCCGCCGCAACACGACTTCATTGAGCGGCGCGTGAAGAAAAGTTTTGACTTTCCTATGCATCGCGCAGCCAGCGCTAGCGCCAGTGATACACTCACAATGCCACATGTCGATTTTGCCAATACAAAGTTCAATACAGGTGGCGGCGGCGGTGGTGGCGGTGCTACACAAGCACAAGGCGAAGCCGCCACAAATAGTGGCACTGAGAGTGGTGGCGGTGGCGCAATGCGTGCTGCACTTGGCACGCATCCGGAATTCTCGACAACAAAATTCTATAACAGCAAAGAGCTCTACAACGAAATGATGCAACACAATCGCAAGCGACTGAAGGCGAAAGCCAAGATGGAGCAGGCAATGGCAGGCGCAGCAGGAACGCCACCACAACAACCGACAATCACACACAGCGCAGCAACAACAGCGGCTAGTGTGGTGGCGCGGGCATGGAGACGGCGGCAAGCAGATTTGCACTGCACCAAAACGCAAAGTTGGAAACTTTACAGCATGCGCAAGTCGCAGAACCGAGCAAACCAATTATGGATGAAGTAGTGAACATGAATTCGAAGCGTGGCGATGCTAGAGGCGGTAGTGATGGCACAAGCGAGGATAAGGAAGGCGATGCAAGTGAAGCAACAAAAAGTGACGTCAAACAGACAGCACAAAGCGAGGAAAAGGCGGAGCTAGGGCAACCACAGCGTCACCGTGTACAGCAGCCAATGCAGCTGTTTGATGCAGCAGCAATTACCGCCAGTACAGAGCGCTTCCCATCACTACAATCCGACGGCGACAAGCCAACTAAGAAGTACCAAAAAGAATTGCAACGCGCTAAATTGCTGCTCAAGTCGATGCTGTTGCCGTCGACAAACGTCAATGGCACAAAGGGGGCGAACAAGTCGATCACAAATATGCTGACAGCAGCCACATCACCACCATCACCATCACCACCACAAGCTAGCGCAAGTAGAACGACAACAAACAACCGAAATGGCAGTCAATTCAACTTGCATGCGCCATCATCCAGTAGTCAAGTAAATGGCAGCGCGACAGCAAAGAAGCTTAGCGCGCTTGACATCACTGCTGCGGGCAAAGTTGATTTGGTTGCAAGTGGCAAAACTTTTGACATTACGTCGCAACGTCGTAAAAGCAATGTTGTCGTCACGTACACACACACAACCACGCCCACACCCACACCAACAGCCGCCGCTTTGAGCGCAGCTGTTGGCAATATTGACAGCACCATTGACAGCAGCAGCAGCAGTAGCAGCAGCACAATTACGGAAGAGCAAGTGAGGCCAACTCAAGCAAAACGGGTTAATTTCGCTGGTGCTGGCATTGTGCATGTAAAGCGTGCTAAACTGACACCTACAACAGCAACAACAACAACAACAACTAAAATACCANCTACTGAAATGTATTATGACATTAAAACCAAAAAGAATTAACGATTCAGCGTGATTTGTTACTATATCAAATAACTTAAGTCGTGCTTTTCATGAAAAACTTGGTGCGTTAAGTACCTACGCGTGGAAGAAATGAAACTTCGTCTTTATCTTTTTCGTTCGGATTTGTATTTGCCTTTCCATAATTTTAGCTTAAATCTTAATCTTAATTCTAGCCCAAATCTCAATCTTAATCTTAAACTTAACCTTAACTCTTATCTTAGCGGTAACCTTAAACTTAGCTCTAAACCAACCCGTACCCTAAACCTTAATCTTAACCTTAACCTTAACATTACACTCAACCTTAGCTCTAATCTTAGTTTTAAACGCAACCTTCCATAAATTTAACCTCAACTCTAACCCTAACCTTAACCGAAACCCTAACCCTAACTTTTTTTTCATCTTAGCTTCAACCTTAACCCTGATCTTATCCTTTATGTTGAACTTAACCTTAATATTATTAGCCCTAACCTTAATCTTAAACTTTTTTAACTTTAATATTAACCATAACCTAAACTTTAATCTTAATCTTGGCCTTAACATTTATAACCTTAACCTTAACCTTAATCGAACTCTTAACCTTAATCCTACCCTTAACAAAAACCTAAACCTTTTTCTTGACCTTAGCATTAACCATAATTTTAACCTTAACCTTAAACTTTACCTTAACTTTAACCTTAACCCTAACCTCAACCGTAATTTAAACCTTGATCTTAACCTTAGCCTTAATGTTACCCTTCACCTCAGCTTTAACTTTAACCTTATCCTTGACCTTAACTTAAATTTTAACCTTATCCTTAACCTCAATTTTAATCTTCATCTTCACCTTTTTTCTTTATTTATTTATCGAACCTACATTTTCCTTTTGGCCTAGAAAGGATTCGGGGTGGTTTAAAGGACTCCCCTCATGACTGGTAGAGGATTCTGACATGTCATTGCTCGATCGGAACTGCCAGTAGGATTATAAAAAGGAATCACATTTTGGCCCGCCTTTTCTAGTTAAGCCTAAGAAACTCTCGTGATTTAAAGCTAAGTGAATTTAGAATTTTGTAATCGACCCGCGATACTAAGTCGATTTGTATTGCTCTCCGTTCAAATTCTACGTGGTATTACAAAGAAGAATAGCTTGGGTGTCCAATAGCGTCCCCTATCTGGAACAAGATCCACTTGGAAGACACTGCAATGATTTGGTATTGAAAATTAGACACTAATGGAGAGTTTCTAGCTGAATACACTGGGCAGGCACGAAAGCATAGCAAGCTGGAGATTCGAAGCGGAGTTTATATCGGTGTCTACCCGACTTCCCCTGGCTTTGTTAACAAATCATTTACTTGAAACTCTTAGATGAGATAGTTCCTCTGTCTACCTGTCTGTGCGGTTGGGTCTTGTCAAGGTGAGAAATCAGGGAGAAGGTGATTTTGTGGATGTAAATCGTCCAAATAAAACGACAACAACCGATCATCTGAGAAGAAGAGAAGCTTTGGTACTCTTCAACTAGAGATGCGAGACATCAGCACAGAAGATCTGGGGTGAGAATCAGAATCTATTGCGTAAACTCAAACCTTCATTTAGTGATTCATCTCCAGAGTTACTTAGCTCCCCCAAAATTTTGTGGTATGACTTTGTATCTGATCCAATGACGACGCCCGCCTTCCCACGTCTAGCATCTACACTACTTTATACTTATTCCTGCCAATACTGGAAACTGCAACTCTTGTTCAAGGTGAGCGACAGATTTTCGGACGCCTTCCTTAGAGCCTGAAGATTGAAGGGAAGCACTTAAATTTCCTATAACCCTCTTCAGTTTCCCAAAGCGGGAAGCTTCTTCCCTTCCGCCACTGGCGTCACTTTGATGCACTTCTAGTGCCATATTCGCAAGAATTTCAGCAAAATGAGCCCTTGTCGATAGGATACCTCGAAGTTTTCGAGATCGACGACTTCCGAAGAAGATTAAGATTGCAGTACTGGAAGAATGGTTACAAGCTCTCCACTTTTTCGGCGAAATTCGTGATTTTCACAAGTAATTTCAACGCCTTCCAGCTCAAAAACGACCACAAAATGGTACCAAATATTTAGTTTGGAGCAGAAACTTTTTTCGTGAGGCATCCTAATGTAAACATTTACATATGTACATATAAACGCGCAGTGAAGGGCTTTATTTTATTATATAAATAAACGTATTTACTTAGATAAATCTTTATTGGCTCAAGTACGTATTTTCTTGTAGTATACATACATCCGTACATACATACATACATAAATATGCTTTTATTTAGGTTTTATATTAATACTTATGATAAATGTTATTTCTCGGCTTTAAATCTCATTTCGGTGAGATTAGTTTATATTGCTATTTTCGTATTACAGCAGTCGTAAAGTAGGCAAAAGGATGTAGTTTAATTGGCATTGGATTTATCACACTGAATTTAATCAGATATTTATAGAGTTATAGCCAAATATTTCGCATGAAAGTGTAATAAAGTTTATTTGTTTAACTGCCTTGGAATATTAAGAAAGGCATTGAATGTAATATACATATGTGAGTACATGTGTATGTGAGTAGGTGCACTGCGAAAAGCGATAATTTTATTTACCAAATTTTTAAAAAAGTTTATTTGTTACCAAAAGTATAGTAAAGACCTCCGACACAACCTCTGGGGTTCTGTAAACTTATCCCTTCCAGCCGTTCTGGAAACTAAAAATAGGCCCAAAGAAAGCGACCAAGGGGTCTAAAGGAACCAAAACTTGCTAAAAAAAAAAAAACAGAAAAATGGTTACAGAAGAACCGAAGAACGATT